CCTCGCTCAGCGCACGCACCGCACACAGCGGACCACACTGTGCACTGCACACAGCGCACGGCGCACAGTGCGCGTACTGTCATTCCAGCGCACAGCGCAGTGCGCACCACCCCACACCGCACTGCACACTGGTTCGCCGCAACTAAGGTTCGCAGGCATTCTTTTTTTTTCTCAGAAAGATAAGCAATCAATCTACGCCCCTGATTATCCTCCAAATCATTACATATAAAAAAAATTCCAACTGCACAAAATTGTGCCCGCCCACCCAGTCAAAAGGTTGCGAAGGGCTGCCAAGCCCCCATCCAGCTGGCCAGAGGCCCCCGACGGACAGTTGTGGTATAAGCATTTTGTACGGAGGGCATGCAGGTGCCTGCCTGCCCGCTGTCCATTACGATTTACTATGCTGAATAGCGGTCCATCGCCATACTCGGCCACGGTTTTCCACAGTACATTATACTCCCTGAGGCAGAATACCGAAAATGTGAAAACCTATCTTGGGCACACCTCTTCCGATGATGCGATAATGCGCAGTTCATCATCGCATAACCAACCAAGATTTGGACAGTGGGGGGTCGGCCCTCAGTCCACAGAACTTATACCGATATCCCTTGTTATAAGGATCTGGAAGACAAATCTCACAATACCAATGGATCAAAAGAAAAGAAAAAGACCAACAGGCCTTGGCATACCCATGAATTTCTGAAATACAACAATTTCTGCACTGCCTGGAGGCAGGGAAGGCCGTCCCAGTGACGAAAAAAGGAGACAAAAAGGAAGGTGGCATCACCCAATCTTTTTCCTTTTCTTTTGGTGGCATCAGCCAATCAATCACAGTCATGTGATCACACTTACATCTGGGTCCTCAGCGACTTTCTCCTTCAGCTGCTTCACCAATGGATGCCTGGGGTTGATCTCCAACGTCCTCCTTCCCTTCATGTAGGACTGTTTAGACTCGTCCGACAGGGCCTGTGCCTTCATAATGCGCTCCATGTTGGCAGACCACCCGAACTTTGATGTCACAACAACGCATGGCGTCTCAGACAACCGATTGCTGACTTTCACTGATTCCACCGACTTCTCGCCGAGGAGATCCTGCACATATTTATATCCCACAAATCACATTTCAGTACACATGAGTCGAGTTACAAAACTCACCTCCCTTGTCATGTTATCGGGCCTCGCTGCACTACACGCTAGACACAAGAAAATTTTCAAGAGTGCGTCTAGCACTGTCAGACTCCGGGATCGGCATGAAGTGCAGTCGTGGCAGCACTTGCCCCGGGGCATGAAGTGCTGTTGTGGCAGCACTTACTCCGGACTCTCGACTCTCCTGAGCATTCTAGACTGTCAGACAGAAGATAGAGAAACTGAAAAGACACTACACAACAGTGCAGCGACGATTTGTCCACCGAGACTGGAGGCCAACTCGCGAAATTGGAAAGAGCGTGAAGGGTCCGGTCCGGTCGGCCTCCTTTGAAAAAAACGCCCCTGCAGGCGGGAACTGTGGGATCTTCAAGAGCTCCTCCGATGGGCCGTTTCTGACACCTCTTGAAGGACCGGACCAAGAGCACTTTTCCACAGTTAGTGCAGCGATAACTCACAGTCAACGTTTTCGAGAGTGAATCTTACAGCTCTTGAATGGAAATTCAGGACGCAGCATCAAGAGTTTGTGCAGCAGTGATGAACTCCTGATTTCTCAAGGTTCAATAGTGCAGCAAGGCCCGTCATCAAATACAAACAATATCATCCTCTAGCCACCAATCCCAGCCACTGGTTATACCGCCGAAGGGCAGTTTGTGTTTGAGCGAGTCAGCGACTCCGCATAATGTTGTGATGCATGGGCGATCAGACCACAACATTAAAAAGAAAATAAATTCACGAGTTCCATTCGTCTAGCTCAGCTGGATTCGAACTCCGGTCTGCATTTCAACCGTTGATAGGTGTATGTACCGAGCTAGGCCAATCGCTCGAGGAATCACATCACAGACCAGAAAGACTTGGGCTGCTTCACATGTGGGTTGCAATACCCTCTTGCAACACTTCCCCTTTATGCACCTTCTACTCCAGATGCATCTCCTCATCTACAAGGATAAGAAAACCTTCACAAAGTTTTCATCACCCACCCACCCACCCACCGGCCACCAAGTTTTCATCACCAGATTCAAGCAGAGAAGGTTCATTTTCATCCTGATCGATAAGTATTAAAAAACTTTGTCAAAGTTCACCCACCCACCCACCCACCACCGAGTTTTCATCACCAGATTCAAGCCAAGAAAAAAACTCTTTTAGCCAAACAAACTCACCTTCCACCAGGTGGTCAGTTTCTTGAACTCCTCACGAACAGCCTTCTCCTTCTTCTTCTGCGCTGTCCCCTTCTCGCCGAGCTTCAGATCTTCTTTTGATGCGTCTTGGAACTTTTTGTCATCAAACTCTGTCAAGTTCTGCATCAAGTACTCGTCCAGAGGATCCGTGAAGTAGAACACCTGCCACACACGGATTTCCAAGGACGGGGAAGCATTCGGTCCAAACAAAACATCAAACTTTCAGTACTTGAGCCAGTAGACCATTTGGCTGGATTGCTGGCCATACGGGGAGGGAGTATGACAAACACTGTTTTTGCTTAGCACAGCTTCTGAGAACGGAAGCCTGCTTACAACAACGGATATTCCCACAGAACGATATATAATGACTTAAACCGTTACCATCCCTTATTGCAGCCGCCATCCAGATGACAGCACATTACTATGATCACTAACCCTCCTATCAATTCACAAATCATCCACAGGGAATCAAACGGCCAATCCTGGCCTACACACGAAAGCCAAGCACATCAATTATCAAAACAAATCTCTCTCTCTCTCTCTCTCTCTCTCTCTCACGAACACACACACACACACACACACACACACACACACACACACACGAAAGTCCAGCACACCATAGATCAAAGCCGTTCTTTCGGCAGGAGACTCTACACAGCAGTTACTACATCGAATTAATGGAACGGTATATAGTGGCATATGCGCATGGACATCCACTTTACTGAGTTGCATGCCATGCGCTCTTTTGATTGCCGCCGGTGTGATTCAAAGAGTACGCCTGGTGTGTGTCCTGGTCAGCCTGTGATATATTGCACACAATTCCACGGCTGCATGTGCTTACGCTAAAAGCGCTCATCATCAACCGTACACGAGAGCAGGCCTGTCTCCCCATTGTAGCCAAGCGATTTACAAACCTACCTCGTAACCCTTCTTCAACAGCTTCTCCAGGAAGGGTGATTTCTCCAGCTGATCCTTGCTCTGCCCTGTCAAGTAGTAGATCTGCTTCTGGCCCTTCTTCATTCTTGATACATACTCCTCCAAGCTTGTCAACTTGTCACCAGACTTAGAACTGTATACGTGATCCAAAACCACGGGCAAAAACCCCACACACAATCCGACATAGCAAGCCCAACGCCGGTTCGTAAGCCACTGAACATGGAATCCACCTCTTTGCCACGCAACCGCAAAAGATATCACCCAATCATCAGCTATATATCGCTTTCAAAAAGAATAATCCACCAGCAATGTGAAAAGGACAACGTACAAAATATGGCAGTTTAGTCTGGCCCAAAACCAACTGTCAACGAGGCGATCATCAACAATCTACAACGCACAGAATCGTACTTCCACAATAGAAGATGTCGCAGTCTCAAGCATCAGGAGCATGATTCTCAACGTCATTCACATTGTCGCAAATTGAAGGGTGTACCTTTACATAGCTCCGTAGGAACCATCCTAAAGGGAACCAATCCTGCAAAAAGGGTAATGCATGCCCTGCTGACGAACGTGGCACTCCTTTTCCTACGACCCTGTTTGAAGAAAGCGACCCCTCCAAAACTCAGATACAGGGGTCGCCGAGATAATTGCATTCTAGCATCAACAAAATCACAAGCCGGGAAAGAGGGGGAGGGGAGGGTAACGATTGGGTGCTGCTCGTATTTTGTCACATTGTGGAATCCGCCCTACCCCACTCAATAAACATGCTATCCCATACGCTGTATGTCAGGTTTACTAAGCGATGTCTTCTCCTCAATCGTGATACAGCCCGCAGTTGCTCACAATATCCTTGAAGAGGAACGGATGCGGAGAATAAAGACATCAAGCCACACACTCTCATCATCCAGGAGTGCAGTGCAGCTACCAAGCAGGTGATTGAGTGGTTAAGCAGAAACTGAGGACCGAGATTGGCATGCACCCCTTGCCGGGGGAATAGGAACCGGACTGGTGCTCCCCAGAATGGAAAAGGAACCAGAACCATAAGGTACTGTTTAAAATAAAATAAAAAAGATTGGCATGCACCCCACTGCCCAGGGTGGAGCTCATAAAACCCACATCCAAGTAACATTATTACTTCTGACGGAGTCCGCCCTTCCGTGACTGCCTGACTTGTCCTGCACTGTGCTTTATCTGTTCCCTCCAGTCGTGCAAATGTTACGGTCTTCACGGGACAGAGCGGTCCGGTTCACATGGGCATTAAGTATGGACTTAGTTACCTACCTCGGTCTTCCTTCACTCCTTTCCCCGTCCGTTAGCGCTCCGTTTCTCTTCTCCCCTCCTTAGGTTACACGTTGCTACCGCAAAGCAAGAACTTTTGTGTAGTCTAATTAACACAACACAACACGAGCGAGCTGGAATTTGCCAACTTGCCAAACCACCTATGTCATCTCACTCTCCTTTGTTTCCTTTTCCCGTCAGTTTCCTGTTTCCCTTCTCATTATTTTTTGTTGCATCCTGCTACCAACCCATAGCAGCACACAGCATCGCAGACATGATTCCACATTACACAATCCAAACGAGGGGTTCACCTATACCTCTAGTTCATTTTGTGTTAGAATAGCCGGCAATCACGTCACACCTCATATCACTCCGTCAAAAGGAGAAGGCCCCACCGGTGCTGTGCTGGATCTTAACGTAGCATGAACCTCGATCCATGCGCTTTCTGCGCACCAGAAGGGCCTCGGCCTAAGCCTGCACCTTGCAAATGCCCTTGGCTGGAACATATCTTCTCAAGGAACATCTTAATGGCATCCTCAACCCAATACACTTTGCCATGTGGACACAGCTGAATGATGGAAGGATACCGAGAAACAGCTGAAAAACGTTGAGCAGATCAATTATCAATACTGACCTGTGGAAGCGGAGCAGCTTTGCAAGACGGACACGATTGGAAGGATCTTCAATGACACCCAGCTTCATTGCTTTGCCAAACTCCTTCCAGAACTTGCCATATTTCCCCTTGCTGTCACTCTTGCTTTCCTCGTTTTTCTTCTCAGCCTCAGCTTCTGAGAAGTTCACCAGAAAAAGAAAAAAAAAAACAACGAAGACGAGCACACAGCAACACACATACCGCACAATCAATGTGAAATCTCAGTAGTTTTCAGTACTACCCCGCCTAATAATTTCGACTGCATCCAAACCCACTAGAGCCCTGAAAGACGGAAGTACATGCCTGGATTCCGCCTTTCTCATTTCCAAAACTGAGCTCTTGATGTCCTGATCAACACATGCACGAGGCAGGCTTATCTCGTACAACTTTCCTTGCCAAAAAAAGAAAAAACAAACTGTATTCATTAATACCCCACAATGTATACTTCTTGACATCCTACACCCTCGAAAATACTCAGAGAGCCAAGGGCTAAGAAAGACTATGAGGATGGATTCCACTAATGCCAAGAGCAGAAAAGGAATACGCACCGAAGTAGACCCAGGAACCCCGCTCAATGCAAAAAAAAATGTCCAGCTCAGATTGCAGTCAGCCGAGATCGCACGCAACAGGAAACAGAATCAGGTAGATCGAATGGTCAAGAGCACCGAAGTAGACCCAGGAACCCCGCTCAACGCAAAAAAAAAATGGTCAGTTCAGATTGCAGTCAGCCGAGATCGCACACAACAGGAAACAGAATCAGGTAGATCGAATGGTCAAAAGCAGAGGAAAAGGTCCACACATTGTTACAGAGACTTACCTCCAGCTGACCCTTACCATCTAAGCCTGCCAACTCCTGCTTATTAGTGCCATGAGTTTCCGAGGAGGAACAGCCTTACATCTAACCTCACAATCTCACCCACACTAGGCGCACAAATTCTACAGACATAACAACCGTTTTCCCACTGTAACCCCCTTGTTGCTAGCTTTAAATGACCGTCCTGTGTACACACGTGCTGCAACAACTGCTTGTCGACTGTGAGACCCCCTGTTGGCAGACAAGGATGTACGTACAGAGCAATCCAGTATCCCTCCCACTCAATGACAAAAGACAAACATGACCATCCAATGTACGGAGAGAGAGAGAGAGAGAGAGAGAGAGAGAGAGAGCTGCAACCCTGCAAAACATGAACCGCATTGGCTGCCCAAGAAACAGCTGCAAAACTGGGACCAACTCAAAAAAAAGTCAACCCTTGTTTGCGTAACTTGTTGAGCAGCGATGATGTCCACCATACTCGTCCACAAGAAAGCTACAAGGTTTTTGGTCAAAGACAATGCTGCTATGACAGACAAGATGGCAATCTGTGAAAAACATAGGAAACAGAAATGCCTGGACGAACACAGAAGCCAACCAAGGCACAGGAGGTGTACCTTCTTCATCCATCTTCTTCCTTTCATCTTCATCCTCTTCTGCGATCTTTCTTATCATATCAAGAACCTTCCTAATCAACTTCTTCTTGATTGTCTTCAGGCTGCCATGTTGCTGGAGCATCTCTCTCGACACATTCAATGGCAAAGTATCTGAGTCCACCAGGCCCTGCATGAAATACACAACAAGACAGCGGTCAGATGAGCAAGCGCACCGAACTCTGCATACCTAAGGTGCCGTTCAAACCGTGGAGTTCCACACTCGACATAAAAGCCCAGAGCCCATGCCTCAAGCATGTATTAATCATATATGCCCTCAGAGCTTCAAACCCCGCGCACTGCTCCATATGTATTGACATCAAAGATTCATCACCCCAGATATTGCTGTGGATGGATGCCGCAAATCGAACAATATCAGGAGGTTTTTCTCATTCCAAGCACACACAGCCAGTCACAGACCCGGTATTGCGATAATAGCTACACTTATCCACAAAGTCATTGCGCTGCGTAGTAGCCTTCCCTAAAACGTTGATAAACGTAGGCTTCGCACGGCAGCATCGCTCTGCTGAAATGGTGCCTGTTCTCCCTTAATCAGATCTTAATTCATGTTCCGTCCACTGACCTCAAGCAGCATCAAACTGAGGGTGGACACACACAATTATTGCATGCATCTGTGTGTATGTGCGTTGTCATGTTCACCATACACAACTGCAGAAAAAAAGAGCGTGACTGGACCAGATGGTTTCGTCAGACTTTCACCAACTCATCACGAGGTGGAACCCAGACAGTCTGCTCAGCACACATTTGGCTGAATGGATAAGGACTCACGAAAGCCCCTACTTAACCCCCTGAGAAAAGTGGTCGACTTTAATCGCACCATCCCTGCTATTATCCTAGCAGAGTGTCGCACCAAATCCCTGACAAGAGTAGCAGTCAGTAAGCCGAGAAACCAGCCTGACAGAGCCACAAAACCCACTCTACACACCCCACTCAGCCATGGATGCCCAATGGCATGACAGCTCTGTGTGCGTGGGTGGGTGCGTAAGTGCACACCTAAATTCACTGCAGCCAACAGGCATGTACCATCCTGGAATAGACCTACCTTGATGAAGCTGAGGTACTTGGGAAGCAACTCATCAAACTCGTCTGAAATGAAGACTCTCCGGACATAGAGCTTGAGAGCCGGCTTTGTGCTGTAGTAGTTGTCGTAAAGATCATACGGAGCACGTGGCGGAATGTACAGCACCGCCTTGAACTCCACATCTCCTTCTGCATTGAAGTGCGTCCACGAGAGGGGCTTATCACCACTGACATCCTGAAGGATACCAACCGCCAGTTCGCCGTCACATCACACAGCCACAGCACCACAAAATGAGTCCACAAGATCACACGGCTCTTGTCAGAGCGACAACACCTTTTGTGTACAACCTTAAACGTGCTAAGGGACATGTACTGAACAACCCCAACAACGATTTTGAGATCCAGGGGTTCACTTCAGTTTGAGAACACGAGCTGAGCGCAGAGTGACAAAGGGCGTAGACATCCCAAGTGGGTCACCGCAACAGGTGAAATCACAACTGCACCCTTGGAAACCACCAAGCGCAGGGATGTGAAAGAAAACGACAATACAACCTTGTAGAAAGACCAAAACAAAGGATACGTAAGTCCTCCTTCCACTTTAAAACTAAAACAAAGGATACGTATGTCCTTTCTTCCACTTTAAAACTGAACGAAGGATACGTATGCCCTTTCTTGCACTTTACTTGCCATCCAACGCAGACAACCGTTTAATGCGTGAAGATCTGAAACCAGACTGAATCTATATTCCACCGCAGAATCAGGGCAGATGCATATATACCTTTGCCATGGACTGATAAAACTTGACGTAATCATCTTCCGAAATGTCTTTGGGATTCCTGAGCCAAATTGCCTTGACGTCGTTCAGAAGCTCCCATTCCCACACAGTCTCTTTCACACTCTTCGTCTTGGACTCTGCAACAGCGGGCGCATAGCCAAAATAAACAAAGCCATCATGAGCTCCTTGAACTACCTCTGAGTTGAAATTTGCCCAGCTCTCCAAGTAGTTAATAACATCACACCGTAGTGGTACGTACGGTTATATATTTAAATAGATAACTTGCAGTAATAACACGGGAAGTGTTTGGACCATCCCAAAACCAAAAGGCTTCCCCACATAGGTAGGTTTCCCCCCAAAACGTCAAGTAACTAGAGTGAAAAAGATGAGAACAACTATACAGGACACCCCACTTAAAACAGGAAAATAACATCCACAACCATTGCTCGCATCATCTTACATTGCTCCCATCATCTTACAGAAGGGTACATGCCACCCAGCTCGTGTACGCCAAATGGAGTGCGAGAGAGCTTTCTGAAGAAGAAAAAGAATCAACACTTGCAACTAGCTCTCCCCGTCTTCGCTGCCCCTGATTGCAGCCCCCATCAGCACCGAAGTAGCTTATACATCGTCGTTGACAGGCAGACAGTGCAAGAGAGAGGAGCCCCTGCTCCTCACACCACCCCTACCCTTGTGTTCCTTACTGCTGACACTTAATGTGTGGTGACGTCTCTGTTCTACACTGGCACGTTTGGTGGTGGTTCTGTTCTACACTGGCTTGTACACACCTACCACAAGCGTTATCACGCAGACCTTGCACATCGTGGACTGTATGGGAGAACTTTTTTTTGCAAGAAATCAGAGAGAGACAAACCTCAGGGCCACTCGTATCCCTATACAAACACCCAGCAACAGATGCAACGGGATGGCAGCACCATTTTCAGCTAGTTGTAAACAATTTCTTCCCAACAATCCGCAATCATACTCCAGTAAGCAGCCTGGAGATTTCAGGACTTCTAAGCAATAGAACGGCGACCTAGACCCGATAAATCAAAGGAAAAAGCAAACAGGGCAGCAATCCGACAAAATCCATAACCCATGCCTCCTTCCACAGGTTAACCAAAATGCAAATGGCCAATCTCCGGGGAAGGAGAACAGAGTACTCACTGCTGTCAGCACCCTCTCCCTCTTCCTCTTCGCCCTCGTCTGCTGCCTCGTCCGCTGGAAATGATCAGTTCCAACACACGGAAACAACACACGCAAACGGGTCAGCATCACTCAGTCATGTGACTGTTTGGACCAGCTACAGAGAACATATTCGGAGAGGAACACTCTCTTCAAATGCTCTCTGAAACAACTTTTCTCCTCGCCGTAAACCAATGTTCCCTCGTAACTTTTTACTAATTTGAGGGTTCCCCACAAAACTTGAAATGCTCTAACATAAATCCAAAACCTTCTGCAGTGAAAAATCCGTTCCTAGAGAGCACTTGACGAACGACATTCAGAGCACGCTATGTTTGAGTACAACTGAAATCCAGAGGGCCGTTATGAGCACGGGTTATGTTTGAATTCTTACACTTGTCTTTAGCCTCTGCTTCCTCCCCTTCATCAACCTCGGTTGCCTCTTCATCTTCAACAGGGACCTCCTTATCCACCTCCTTACTGGCCCACATGTAGATGGGGAAGTTAATGAACTCCGAGTACCTCTTAACCAATTCCTGCAAAACAGAACCGCCGACAAAATTCACAAGAGCGGTAAGAACCCCGATCAGCGGACACGGACACAGCAAATGCTCCCGCTAACGACCTGCAAAGATATGCTGCATTAGCCGACACAGTTCCTACACAGGGCCGTCATTGCCAAAAATTGGCACCCGCAGCGACATTAAAAATAGGGCAGAGAAAACAGGCCTTCAGACCGTATACATGTGGGAGAATACCAAGACAATGGCTAGCGAATCAGTTACTGCAGAAAAAACACCTCCACTTGTGGATACATACTAGCAAAAACCACATTCCCGTCAACACACACACACACACACACACACACACGGACACACAAGCAGGCACTTTAATCCAAACACAGACATGCACACGAAAGCAGGTACCTTCACACACACACACACACACACACACACACGCACACAAGCAGAGTGGAAGCAGTTGATCGAACCTTAAGCTTTTGTTCGTCACCGTATTCAAGTGAATCATCTTTCAAATGGATCCTGATCTCAGTACCACGGCCAAGTGCTTCACCCTCAGTATCCTCAAGAACAGTGAACCCTCCATCTGCCTTGGATTCCCAAATGTACCTGCAAAGAGAACAAAGAGAGGTCAGCGAATGCATATTTTCTCCATGAATAAAGTTCAAAGACTTCACAGTCCTCTATTTTGACGCTACAACAGCATGATTTCCCCCCCCCGTCTGATCCACAGGCGAAGTCCACAAGATGATGTCCTCCTCATTCTCTGAAACTCAGGCCAGTAGATAAGTCCATTCCGTCAATATGTGCACATCAATCACTACACGGGCCCAGTCCATCAATATCTGCACATCGCGGAATTTCTTTTTAATTAAATATATGCGGTTTAGGAAACTCATTTTATTACATTATCTTATGCACACACTTTCTTCTTTGGTGGTGGTCAAATAACATCATATAATCCCCCCCTTGGGCATTTAACTTTAGACGGTCCTCACCACAATTCCGGCGTTCCCAAAATCGTCAGGTCGTACTGGTGGGAGCCAGGTAAGCCTTGATAATTTCGGTTCAAAAAACGTCATAATTGCGGCCAGGGACGCCAAAGTTAAATGCCCCAAGGGGTATTATAATACTGTGCACGCCACACTCGTAGATCCATGACCGCTCTTACACAAAACAGTGAATTCCTGGAAATGCCTCCGAAGGGACCAATACCCCAAACATTCCCAAAACCTGAGGCTTTCACAATGCAGATAAATAAAAGCCAGCCCAATGAAGTTTCGAAAACCATGGTCTGCTACCGGAGCCGGAAGAAAGAAGGAAAGACAAATACTCACTGCTTGTCATCGTTATGTTTGCTGATAACCTCGACCTTATCAGCCACAAGATAGACAGAGTAAAAGCCGACGCCAAACTGGCCAATGAGGTTCAAGTCACCACCTTTCTGCATCTGCTCCAGGAAAGCTGCAACCAGACAAACCAAACACATGTTTTACATTGTCACAGCTCATCACCGACTATTCAACAGAGTAGAAACAGGCAGGCAGGCAAAACAGCATTTCCCTCGTATCGTCACCTCCAATCCCCCCGAAACCAATCAACCATGGACACAGCCCCATCATGACTGCATCATATCCATATACCCCGGTGGTAATAAACCCACCCACCCACCCACGAAATCAGATCAAAACTCATCAGCAGTACGAAGATCCGTCTGACCCACCATCCACAAACAAGGTCCACTGCTGAAAGTGACACGGCCTTCAAGCCGGCAGGCCGTCGGCGATAGCAATCCCACTCACTGGTCCATCGGATCATCCTCCATCGTCCTCACTCATATAAAGTTCGTTCCTTTCATGCCAAGTAGCCCAACCCGACGACACACATCACATCGTTACGATACTGATTGTTCACAATGTAACGACCCTGTCGTTGCAAACGGTCCAATACTTGTGTTATCTTTCTTTTATTTGGTTCCCTTACATGCGTCATCTTGACATGGCCGTCATTCCAAAATGCCGTCGTGGCAAACGGTCCAATACTCGTGTTATCTTTTCTTTTATTTGGTTCCCTTATGTGCGTCATCTTGGCATGGCCGTCATTCCAAAATGCCGTTACACAGATGCATACATACGTATAGCATCATATAGAGTGCCGCTACGAATCTTCAGGGTCATACTACTATCACGACAAAGTGATAGTCGCCTTGAAACAAGTTGAAGGTAGAGTCCGTGCTATGTAGAGATACATACCGTAGTTTCACATACTGGTGGTTATTTCAGGAAGAAAAAAAAAAAAACATAATAATAATTGTGGTCATGAAAAGCTAAGCTACTTTAAAACATGAAAAACCCGGCTTATCCCAATGCCTCCACTTACACTGGGTAAGGAATGTGTCCCAGAATTTCTCTCTTCCGGGTTGTTTATGGAAAATTCCCGGCTCCATCATGTTTTTTGAAATGAGCATGATCTTTTCTTGAAAAAGAAAAGAAAAGAAAAAAGAAAAATAAGAAAAAGAAAAAGCTAAGCTACTCACCAGAGGTTCCAGACTTGGCAATTGTTCCAAGATTCTTGATCAAATCTTCCTTTGTCATTCCAATACCCCGATCGCGGATAATGAGGATATTTCTGTCTTTGTCCAGTTTGATCTGCATGCCACACCGCACCCATCATCAGAGAAAACATTTCCGGAAATCACAAGGGCGCACAGTTCCATACACACTTGCATCGAGAAATAGACATTCACATTTTTGCAGCATAATGCACTGCGGAATAATAAAAGCAAAAGCGGCATAAAACAACAATAGCGTACAGAAAACGATGCTGAAAACTGGATACAAAGAACACAGGCTACAAATGTAGCGTCCCTGCAACTCCCGACAAGTGAGCTAATCTTTGACACTACGTCCACAACACAGCCATGTACAGTAGTTCCTCTCTCTCTCTCTCTCTCTATATATATATATATATACGATATATATATATGGATACAAAGAACACAGGCTACAAATGTAACGTCCCTGCCACTCCCGACAAGTGTGCTGCATTTCTTCGACAGTACGTCCACAGCACAGCCATGTACAGTAAGGCTCCCTCTCTCTCTCTCTCTCTGTGTGTGTGTGTGTGTGTGTGTGTGTGTGTGTGGTCCCAAAGACACGTACACTAGTGTGCGTGTGGTTTGAAAGACATGCATTTCCAGAGGGGATCGCAGTACAAGAGGAGTGTCAGCGATTTTCTTCCAAGTCTCACCTGAATCTCGAGCTTGGCGGTATCTCCTTCTCCGAGCACATTTTTATCCGTCAAGGATAGGAAGCGAATCTTATCAAGAGCCTGTTCATGCATGAGTGGAACCGGCAAAAATATATCAGTCCTGCATGTTCCACAACGTCAACCAGCTCAACAGGGCAAAATAGCAACAAGCAACAGACGGCCGCAGCAACGGACAATAAAACAAGGCCAACAGATGGGGACAAATAAAACTTTTACACGTCACCACAAGGGGCGCAGCTCAGTCGCAAAATAAACGTGAAAAGAAATTCAGGCAGAGAGGAAAAAGGCATCAGTCGAGAAACAAATGAACAAGAGATGACGACAGCACGGGAGCCAAAAGACGCACAAGTTCATAAGAAAGTGTACAGGGAAGAAGAAATGATGTTAGCCAGAGTTAGTCCAGGAACAAAACAAAAAAAGTCAAGGAAAAAACAAAAACGGATGCAAAATAAGCCATAGAGACCATTGTCATCGTGTTCTTTTTCTTTCCGATTTTTCGAATGGTTTCCTATTTCTTTGTAAAACAAGGTGCCGAAAATTTCCGTCTCTTCTAGGCTACCACAGTGGCCCGTGGTCACTTGCCCGGTCGGGCCCAAAAAAATAAAAAATAAAAATTGTTTTTCAACATTACTTTTTATTTTTAATTTGGTAAGGAATTTCGATGCGACCCTGAGGCAAAAGTTCTTCAGTTTATTTGTCTGCATAACATAGTTTTTTTCCGGATTTTCTTAATGCTTTTTTTTTTTGCAAGGACCTTCCCTGGTCCTTGCACGGCCGGGCCGTCCGGCAAAATAGGGTGACCCGGGCGGCCCGGCTGGTAGCCTGGGTTCTCTTTATATTATGGACAAAAAAAAGACACCAGTTTTCTAGGGGTTTCGTCTCCGGACATTTTTTATGCTTTTTTTTTTTTTTTTTTGCTAGGACCTTCCCTCGTCCTTGCACGGCCGGGCCGTCCGGCAAAATAGGGTGACCCGGGCGGCCCGGCTGGTAGCCTGGGTTCTCTTTATATTATGGACAAAAAAAAGACACCAGTTTTCTAGGGGTTTCGTCTCCGGACATTTTTTATGCTTTTTTTTTTTTTTTTTTGCTAGGACCTTCCCTCGTCCTTGCACGGCCGGGCCGTCCGGCAAAATAGGGTGACCCGGGCGGCCCGGCTGGTAGCCTAGGTTCTCTTTATATTATGCAAAAAAAAAGACACCAGTTATCTAGAGGGTTCGTCTCCGGACTTTTTTTAATGCTTTTTTTTTTTTTTGGCTAGGCCCTTCCCTGGTCCTTACACGGCCAGCCCGTCCGGGAAAAAAGGGTGACCCGGGCGGCCCGGCTGGTAGTCCAGGTTCTCTTTATATTATGGAAAAAAAAAAGACATCAGTTTCCTAGGGGTTTCGCCTCCTGTCCATCCACATGTCAGAACGACCGTTGGCCAAGACACGAACTTGGGGATTTCAGGGAATCAAAAAAAAAAAAAAGGACAAAAGAAAGACCACGTTCAGAAGGGGAAAAAAAAAACGAACCGATCTAAATAGGAAAAAAGAGAGATGGTGTGCACTTGGAATAGAGTCACGTGAATTGACACAACACCCCGCCCACGTGGCGGAATGGTACACTCTTCATCATTATATTATTATAACTGTTGATAAACAGCCCTGCGTTGGAAACCTGAACGGAATATCATCATATAAGCAAACTACCGGTAGATCTGAATTACCTGGGGCAGGTCGGTTCGATGACCATATCTCAAGGCCGTCGCTCATGCAATGTGAAAGTGGGGGAAAGAAAATCAACAAAAAAAAAAAAGATAAGACGCATAAACCTGCCAGATGCGAGTTCCATTGAAAAAAATTGGGATCAGAAGGACAATCTCCAAAGGGAAGGGAAGGATCTCATGCATGGGCTTCGAATATAGACAAATATGTAACTTAATAAAACCCTGTCAAAAAAAAAAAAAAAAAAAAAAAAAAAGGCACCTCTGTCAAACTCTGTCACGCTCTGCAGCTTGTTCACGCACAGTAGTAGGT